ACAGTATTCTAAAAAATGTTTCAAAAATTTAAATTTTCTACAACCCTATCAGAAAAAATATTCCCACCACCCCCCCCCCCCCAAAAATTAGGCTTTTTAACCCCCCCCCCCCCCCCTTCTGAAAGTTCCATTGTCCAACCCTTAGGGGAGGTATGGATATTTTCTGGAATTACACATTCCCCATTGTGGAGTCCAGATTCCTTGTCAGTGCTGGAACTTGGATTATTGATTCCAATCATAAGCAGCATTCCGGATTGCTTGAGCTGAATTCCAGATTCCGCCAGAAAAAAAATTTCCTGGATTCCCAATTACCACTCATGGTGTGAAATCCTCTAAATTAGAATATTTTACCAGCATGTAGCCCAGTCAAAATGGTTTGCAGTACATGTAATAGGCAGGACAACCAGAATAACAGGCAGCAAAAGCCTAAACTTGGGTGCAGGTTTGCATTTGAAATTATTAAACATTATTGTTGATTGAGTAGGCAGCAAATATTCCACTGGAAGCAGCAAAGTTGCCTGCTGCCAGCTCATTTTGGCTGGGGTGAGCATGCAAAGAAAGTCATGTTCGATTAGCCTGGGGCTAGTGGTTGCTATTCGGCTAGAGAATTCTGTTCTAAATTTACCCAATGGGCAAGAGACGTTTTTTGTAGCATTCAAATTGTAAAAGAACTGTAATCAATCCTTGCCTTGTTATCAAAAAAATTTTTTTGGTGCTAGTTAAAATGACTCTTGGGCCAGTCCATGATCTATAAAACTGACAATCTTTGCACGGTTTTACCCTCTGTAAGTTCAAGTTTCAGATAATCATTTAGTGTAAAGTATTGCCAGTATTGAGGGCCTCCCAGGGGGGGGGTACATGTTCCCTTGTTCCCTCGAAAAAATTGGAGTTTTTCCCTTGTTCCCCAAAAATAAATTAAGATGTTCCCTGAAATTCACTTTCATCAAGTTCCCCTGTTCCCAGAAATTCTGTTGCATGTTCCCTTGATCCCCAGAAATATTAATTAATGTTCCCCAGAATTTCAATCATATTTCAGTTTTCGATGGTCGGTATTTTCGTAAGTTTTACCTCGTTAGTCATAGTAGAGATAATCCTCAGCAAAACGCCTCTTTCGTCTCCTTGATGAATGCCGCATCACCTCTGGTTCATCAGCAGAAATTTCTGTCGCCTCTGTAAGAGT